TATTACAATCAATATATCTCTCTTCAATCAGACCATCCAGTGCTTTTGGAACGATTTTTAAATGTTCCCAATGAAATATCTCCATTTCATCGGTAAGAGAGTAAGTCCACTGTTCCAGATATTCACGGCTTGTTTTATAAAATTCTGTAGCCGTACTATCACAAATTTTCATTAATATCAGAGTCAATATCTTTCAATTTCACCATTAAACTACGAAGCGTAAATGAAAGAAACTGATTGGTCTGTTCCTTAACCAAATTGACTGACGCGTCCGGCAAACTCCATAATTTCCACACGGTTTCGGAAAACGGGACAATTGTGTGTCCCGGAGCAGTTTTTTGTGTACACCGGGTCCGATAACCGAAAAAAGGAAAGATCCCAATCAAAACGGGACGTATGGTCACGTTAGGAACATATAGCAAATTTGTAAGCGTTATTTAAAATATTAATGTATCGAAAATTGGACGACCTTATGATGATGATGATGATGATGATCGAAAATAGTTAAATAAAGGTAGTAAAAGTGTGAAAAGGTGTTTGAATGCGTGACAGTATTATAAAAACCAAACCAAAGTACAATAGTATGTGTAAATCAAAAGAAAAACGATTAAGTAGGTATATAATTGCATTTAATTAATTTATTTACTCTTACATTTTCAGTTCATTGAAATAACGATTTCGTGAATGTTCAAACAAAACCAATTTTATCTCATTACAGTTCAAATAATAATTCAATCTAAAAAGGTTGCTTGCAATTTCCCCATTTCATTGTCCTAAACCGAAACGCTAGGTCCGGGATTCAATCCCTTTTTATCTCATTTCGTTTAAACTTTCTTTCTGTACCCTACACACGGAGAAAATGAAAAAGGAAAATTTACTTAAACATTAAAGCGATATTTACAATTTATTTCACTATCCCGTTGCTTCGTAAGCGAAAATAATAAAAATTACAATTTGGACCCGAATTTGTAAAAATAAAATCCCATTAAAGCGATATTTACAATTTATTTCACTATCCCGTTGCTTCGTAAGCGAAAATAATAAAAATTACAATTTGGACCTGAATTTGTAAAAATAAAATCCCAGCAGAAATAAATTTACTAAGTAGTTTAGTTGATATTACAAATGTAATTGTAATATTAGGAAACTTGAAATAATTTTTTAAAAAAGATGTTAAAATTGAGATTATTACAAGTTGCCTAATAAATTCTGCTATTTCTTTGGCAAATTCAGTCATTTGCAGTCGAAAATTATAATTTTTGTGTTGTCATAAAAATTTAGTTTTCTTCGTGCAGCGAGACAAACGGAATTGAAGTGTTTTAAAGCACAGTGGTATTCGTTTACTATGACTCCGCCTATATTGATCAACCGCTTAATATGAAGTAATTGCAATGTTAACGTTAATTTTCATATTACATGCTCTATAGGAAAGTATAGATATAATGACTCCGTTTAAAATGACATATCGTTTATTATGACTGATTCTCAAAAAATCATATCCGGCTGTAGTGACCCAAATGATAAATAATAACATTTTCGCCCATTTTCCTGACCCTTCTTATGTATATAGATATTACAATTCATCGTTCTTTTTTCTTTTTCTATTAATAAATATATACAATAAACTAAATAACTAACCAAAATAGAAGGACTAAGACTAAGAACTAAGACCATGCTTTGTATTACACCCGCTGGATATGACGTGTTTGTTATTTACCTTCGATGTCATTATAAGCGGATTCTACTGTAGTGTAACAAGGACCTAAAACGGTAAACCGGCACGTGAACCTTATATTGTAGTACCAACAGTATAGTTGGCTTTTTATCACACATTTTAAACACGTAGCAACATAAGTGCAACATGTAATTTGTGAACTGACCAAAACTGCATAACTTTTGACCTATTGTAGTGTCTAAAATTAAATTTACCGCTAGTTTGCTCTGTGGTCTATTACTATTACTGTTGTGTGGTGAGGTGATATCTATAGAGTTTGGGATGTTAATGTATAGCGGTTAGTTAATGTCAGTTGTTATTTTATGTTGTTAAATGGTTGTTGATTTAAAAATAATAAATTCAAAATGGGTCCCGGGTTCGATTCCCGGCGGGGGTGTGACAACAGCAATAATTTTTCCTTCATTAATTTGAGGTAGTGTGTAGTGGGTAAAAATTCAGAAATGAAATGGAAATTCAATTCGTGTTTTATTAGCGACTACACTATTCATTACTTTTCACTCGGGATAACATAGGATAAAAAATACAAATTTTGCAGATTAGATAGACATAAAAAGAGTTATATGATCCAGAATTGATTCCATTCTTTCTGTGGGTCCGGCGATGGAGGCGCTAGGACTAATCTCATTGCTGTCCGTCTTATTACTGCCCGTGGAGCTGTTTTACCTGAAATATTCATCTTTATGTGAATGTTCGACACAGTGCTTACCGTCAATAATCTTAACTTTATTATCCTTATAATCAATATGAGGATAATGAATGAAAAACGCGCACAAAAATCATGTAGCTTTTAAAGCATTTGAAAGATGCTTCTACATATCATAATATGCTAGGATAGAATTTAAGTCTCCCTAAAGAAAGGCTACGAAAAAGAGAAATTGGAGAATAAAACAGACAATTTAAGAATTAGAAAATACTGATGTTCGTTATGGTTTAAAAGAAATAATAATATGATGCACTTTTAAAATGTATGAAACTATTGTACACTATGTGTGATCAATATTTCGGAATATATAAAAAGTAACATCTGAAGGTAGTGTAGAATGCACCTCGTGACAGCAACGCAACATAGGGGGTGTAAAAAGTAAGCACAAAAAGAACCCCAGTTGACGTTCGTTATCGCAAGTGTCAGCTGACGAAACACCTTCGCAGCAACTGATACGTAAACAAGTCAATTGTACGTAATGATTAGTAATATCTGCACTCGTTAACATTCGATATTATTGGAAAGCGTGGACAGCAATTGGACAGCAGTTCATCTGATAAATGTCGAACCGTCCTCAAGTCTTCCAATATTTAACGGTAGCCGGGGTCTTTCCACTAAATAGATTCGGTTTGGGTGGGTATTAAAGGCTTTAACGCTTGTTTTCGACTCGCACTACTATTCATAATTGAATAAAACTTTTGGCAGGTACTGTATGAAAAAGTATGTTTAATGAACAACAGTCGAGAGTATAATGAGCTTGTTTCTCCCTACCTACGATTTTCCCAGCGCGCATCCAAGACATTGGAAGGGGCATTTCGCTAGAGAAAGTAAATGAATTATACTTTACATATACTTAAACATACGAGAAAATCTTCTGTACTGTTTACCTCCACATTTTGAAAACTTTTATTAATTTATTAATTTATTTTTTTTTTACAAATACTTTTTGTTATGTTTTAGTTTTGAGTAAATTATTTTTCATTTGTTGACAGTTTAAGATTCCATAAAATGCTTCATCTCTTATTAAAGCTGTTAATTTCTGAAAGTACCGTTTAGTAGTAACAGTTGGAACATTTAATCGATAATATTGGCGTTACAATTTTAAATCGAGCCCACGAAACTATAACGTTTATAATTTACACAATACTTTTGAAATCCGTATGTATTAATAATATTTTTTGCATGGTGTTTATCCACTTCATTTTCTTCATTGTTACGTAAATGATTAATTGTGCACGAGTTGTATGATAAAAAAAAAACGGGACGAGGACTACCGTTGTCATTGTAGTAGCTCCCGCCAGGTGAAGACTTGTCAAAAATGATGGAGTCTTTTTACGGTTGTAGTTTTAGGGGCGGTTTGTAAGCCCAAATGTTCAATCAGGGGAACGGCTCCTGCGGTTGACGTTTGTACACGCGGCGTCAAAGAGCGCAAGCGGATAAAAATTAAAAAATACCGTTTGTTTTAAAACTTTGGAAAGTAATAAATTTGGAGGACCACATGGGAATTACGGGCTTTATTAACATGTCTGACGCCGGACCTGGTGCACGCATATTCTGTAACCCATTAGTGGGTCGCATGGCTGTGTGTAAAACAGGATTCAAGATGGATCAGTTTGCCGACTGATAATATGCTAATGCGGCTTGATTATTGTTTAGAATTAAAAGAGGAGAAGAGGGTGCGAGTGAATGACTGTTTGCCGAAGGATTATCGAGGTGTTACATATTTATTTGCTCAATTATTATTAATGTATTCTCTGTTTGATGGATGGTATATAAACGGAGACAAGAAGTAATATTGTAATGTTCGTGGGTTTAACAAAATTAACTTCTAAGACTGATAACGACAAAAACTATTTATCAAAGAACTTAAAAACACTATTAAATTATTACAAAACTTAGGTTATGAATTATTCTATTTATTTACACTACTGTTGATATAACACTATTCACTGCGCTATTTATTTCACTGCTATCACTGTCAATTTATTTCTGGATTCACTTCTGCAACGGTCAATTTATTTCTACCTCTCTCGGCGATCGTCTCTTCCTTTAAATACTCTTTTGTTTCCTTTCTGGAACCCTCTAGAAACATCCGGATCG